ACTGTCACAGGCAGGGTCCGAGCCCGCCTCCCAAAATGACTTAGATTGTGTCAATGGGGGCGTAAAACATCTACATTAAAGACACGTTTTGCCAGTTTGTTGCCTTGGCCCATCAGCGATAGACGTTAATCTGGAGATCTCTCCTCTTAGGTAACCTGTGTTGAAACGACGTTTTAAACTCGTACAAAGTGGGTGGTTGGCGGGTGCTTTATGGTGTGGTTTGCTCCTTGTTTCCTATGAAACAGCTATCGACCTTGGATCCCCTCCTTTTTGTGTTTGTTACTCTTGTTTAACACTTCCAATCTTCGGCACTCATATGACCTTATTGTGTTGCAAATGCCGTAAAACTCTGACTAGAACTAAAACATTAAAAAACAAGCGTTTGCAATGTAATGGTTAGGCCGTTCGGCCTTGCACTCAAAAAATATATATGAGTCCGATGCTCACGTGTATTATTTACCTCTGTTATTCAGGGGTCTCTGTATCCAATCGAGCATATCATGAGGTCAGCCTTCACAGGTGGGGTCGAGGCAGTCCGCGTCCTACATGGTCTAAGCCAGTGCTTGCCGACCTGGGCGATATCCTTCACCAAAGGGCGATTTAGTCATTTTGATGGGCGATTTGCATTGCATGGGTAGGGACAGGTAGTGTTTAATGCCCCGCTTGGAAATACGATGTGTAAGTGGGCGGTACGGGTACGAAAATATTAGCATCTTAAAGGTGTCAAATGGGAGCACTGGCTATAACAAGGTTGACAACACCGGAATAAATTTATGTGAATATAATGGTCAAACAAATCCGAACATTATATGGTAACCTGGTTCTACTCAATTACAGTCTTGTGTTGCCACCCACGCCTACTCGCATACCGTACGCATTTTAAATATATTACATTCCAGCATCTATTTCTTCGGCCTTGCACGCAATATAATATATGATTTCGATGCTCGCGTTGGGAAGGTATTATCTCGAATACGTGTATTATTTACCCCCGTTATTCAGGGGGCTCTGTATCCAATCAAGCCTATCATGAGGTCTGCCTTCACAGGTGGGGTCGAGGCAGTCCGCGTCCTACATGGTCTAAGTCAGTGCTTGCCGACCTGGGCGATATCACTCATCAATGGGCTATTTAGTCATTTTGATGGGCGATTTGTATTGCATGGGTAGGGACAGGTAGTGTTTAATGCCCTGCTTGGAAATACGATATGTAAGTGGGCGGTACGGGTACGAAAATTTTAGCATCTTAAAGAGAGCACTGGCTATGAAAAGGTTGACTACACCGGAATAAATTTATGTTAATATAATGGAGAACATTACATGGTAATCTGGTTCTACTCAATTGCAGCCTTGTGATGCCGCCCACGCCTACGCGCATACCGTACGCATTTTAAAATATGTTACTGTATTACATTCCAGCAT